TGGACTAATAGTTACCAAAGGGAAAGGGACTGGGGAGGACGGGTGGGAAGGGAGGGATAAGGGCGGGAAGAAAAGAAAGGGGGCATTATGATTGCATGTATAGTGTTGGGGGGGGCATGGGGAGGGCTGTGCAACACAGAGAAGACAAGTAGTGATTTTACAGCATCTTACTATGTTTATGGACAGTGACTGTGAACGGGGATGTGGGGTGGGGGACTTGGTGAAGGGGGGAGCCTAGTAAACATAATGTCCTTCATGTAATTGTAGATTAATGATACGAAAATAAAAAAAAGATACATATGCATATATATGTGTGTGTGTGTGTGTGTGTGTATAAATACTTAGCTTCAGGAAATTTAGTAGCTGTAGTTTTCCTCAGTGATTATAGCATTTGCTCTCCTACTAGCAGTATATAGGACTTCCAGTTACTCTTCATTTTCACTTACATTTCGTATTGTCAGTCACTAATTTTAGCCATTCTAATAAGCACATAGTGATATCTCATTGTAGTTTTCATTTGCATTTTTCTGAGGACCAGTTCAACCAGAAAGGATCTGGATTCATTGAGTCTCCTGAGATGGGGCTTAGGCGCAAAGGCCCCAGGTCCCAAAATTGCCTCTTACCGGTTGAGTTGCTTTTCTCAAAATGACTTAGATTTCTAAAATACCCCACAGGGATTCTGAAGCCATGGCACCTGTGGATAAGAATGAAGATATTTGCCAACTTCTCCTGAGGGCTTATTTTAAAAGTCTCCAAGAAAGATGTTGCATTCTGTTCAGGAGATAGTCATAACAAATAAATCAATAAAAATTTTTTCTACTTGAAACACATTAAATAGATTGGGCTATGATTAAAGGTCTTCAATATTTGATCAATGAACAGAAGAAGCTGCAGGTTGCTTCACTGAAAACTACAACTACTGCTCTTTGTATCCATTTGTTAGTTTTACCTTTATAAAATGTTCTTCCACAAAAATTCGTTTTCAGAAATGAGAAAGTGGTTATTTTAACATTAATGATAATGCATACTCTTTGTGGACTCTTACTTGCTAAGTTAATTAGGCATGGATGCATTTGAAATGCTTCCGTGTACCAAAAAAAAAAAATTCTGTAATAGACCAGGTAACTTTAAATAATGAATATAAAGAGTAACCTTGACCTGTTCACCTTGAATTGTAAACATAATGTAAAACTTTTGCAATAGAAACCAAAAAATACTCTACCAGCCAGTGTAACCCACCTTTAAAGAAAAGGATCTCATCTGGTCTTTATGAAGAACACCATAGTTTTATGTTTTTGGTTACAGAATCAGACAGCCTATCACATCAACTTTGAAATATTCTACATTACCAACAAGAAAGAATAGAAGTGCTTCCCTGTGCCTAAGCTCTTGTGCCATTTGGTTAAAAAATACATTATTTTGAATGTTTTAGAGGTCTGGATACCCCAGGTTCTCTGAGATACACTAACACCAGGTTCCAAACAGGATAAAGCTGTGCATTTAGGTAGGGATCATAAGGGCCAATTTATTATTTGTTGTTCTACTCACATAATGACATACTCCTCACTGAAGGTTTGCTAAGGCTTTCCTTAGTAGTACTTACTAGCTTTCTAAGTAAAAGCTAATTAAGAGTTTGCTCCAGCAGTTTATTAGGCCTCTAATGAATGCTAATCATACTCTTCATGCATCTGAATTAAGAGACAGGAAATAATTTTACACACATAAGCAAACCCTAAACTAATGTTTGGTTCTTAGAAACTGACACAAGCATTACTTTGAAAGAGCAGTAAGTTAGAAACCCAAGTGAGACAGAAAGCAGTAAACCTGGTCTACTCAAGTACTTGGGACACAGAATAGGGACAGATTACATGTCTTTATAGAAGTTCTCCTTTTTCAAACCAGTGGTTGGTTATCTTTGGGCAGAAATTTTGTGTTAGTGAATATTTAGACACAGTGCAATGCTTGCATTACAATATGCAGACCTGAGTATAGTCAAATTAACATGAGTGAAATAATCCCAGAGACTAAAACTTTGAAGATGGCACATTATCTGGACCAAAGTGGCAGAGTAGTGACCTCTTCCCCTTTAAAGGCCTTTGGAATCGTTGGAATCGTTGGGCTTGCCTTTCCTGGTGTTTGAAGGTCTTTCTTTCATGAGCTTGGTAGTGAACATGATTGAAGGTTCTCTCTAGTTCTTGCCTCTTGGAAGTATATGTAAGTCTTCCCATATTGTGAACAAGATACTAAAACATAAAAGGAATATTTGAACCTCAGTCCCTTTCTTCAGAAAATTGAGAAGATGTTGCAGCTTTAAAGAGGTTAAAAAAACACTTTCATCATTCACAGATGGGAGAAATGAAAGGTTAAAAATGAGATGATCCCATTGTGTTAATAAAAAAGTCAGAGAAACAGGATTGTCTGGCTGGGTGATATTTTTTCCCTCTTAAGATGAATCACTCAGTTCATTTAGTGTATAGCCATCAAGTTTAGAAAAAATATTAAAGAACTATATATATACACACACACACAAATACAAAACAACCATCTGGAAAAGCTGTTTTAGGAGGTACAGTAGAAAACTAATTCATGCTATTTTTATATAGTGATGTATTTCCAGTGTTTAATTTCTTTTTGGTTAGAATTAAGAATTTTACTGTATCATATAATTTTACCATGTTCTAGGGCAGAAGAAAGAAGAAGTAAGTAAAACATATAGCCTGTAGGCTACATTAACTGCTTTCTGATCCATCTACCCTTTTTTTCCTCTATGTATGTTTCTTGAGCTCTTCTTTAAAAGGTAAGTATTTTTCATAGTTTTTTAATTTTAACAATCCACAAGGATTTATTCTGGCTCACTGATTAATCTGGGGCATTTTAAATTCCCTTAAATAAATCTCTGTATATTTGCAACTGAATCAGAACTGTAAAGCATTCCATAGGTTGCATTATATACACTTTATGATCAGCATCTCTTAGAGATGATGAGCTATTTCTGAGTTATGCTGAAATTTTGACATTGTGGTGTAAATGTCCAAAAACTCATTTTTTGTATTCTCACCATTTTCTGTTCTCAATTCTTACAAATAAGAAGGAATTAATCTCGGGAGAGTGGGTGGGGAGGGAGGGAGAAGTGGAATAAAGGGGCATTACCATTAGCACACATAATGTGGGGGTGGGGCACAGGGAAGGCAGTATGGCACAGAGAAGACAAGTAGTGACTCTATAGCATCTTACTATGCTGATGTACAGTGACTGTAATGGGGTATGTGGTGGGGACTTGATAATGGGGGGAATCTAGTAACCACAATGTTGCTCATGTAATTGTATATTAATGATACCAAAATTAATAATAATAATAATAAAGAATCAGCTTCTGGCATTAAAATGTTAGATTTTCTTAGATGTGCTTGTATGAAGACTTGACATTGCATACAGCATAACAAAGATAAATGTTAGAAATTAGCTTAACTTTTATTTACTCAGGCCAAACTCTCCAACTGAACAGAAATTTTAAACTTTATTAGCAGTAGTAAGGCTTACAAATTTTAGGAGCAAATTCCCAAGTACACATGCGGGTGAATGGGTCTCACAGATTTGGGAGTGTCCCTCACTTTAATCTCTTTTATCCTGACATGGAGAAAGTGCTAAGTGAGCTTCTGCTGAGTGAATGAAACATTTTTTTAGTGTCTACCACATGTATGGCACAGTGAAACATATGAGTTTTGATCTTCTTTGAGAGGCCAACAATGAAAGATGCGCTGTTATATTTAGCCATATTAACGTGTTGTTAATTCAAGTGACAGGATGTGAATTTCTTTGCCTAGGAAGAAGAGTTATCAAATATGGTACATAAACTTTGCTGTGATACACGCATGAATATTCAAGTTGAATACATAAAGACATTATCACAAGCATGTGGACTTACTCTGTAGTATCTACAGAAGTCAAAGCTGACATGTAGCTCCTCCCTGGTGAATTCACAAGCCAAATGACGTGCTTTTGATTCTGTTTGGTAAAACATATTAACTCCCTTACCACTTTCTAGCATCTTTTAGGCAATGTTTTGTTTTGAAGTCTCAGTTTCAACCCAGCCTTTTCTGTCCTATTATAAATAGAGAATAAACAAATTTGTTTATTCATACATGAGCCTTTACCTGTTTCTGGATTTATAGCCTTGTATTCCTAATCAGACTGACAGAATTTGTTTTCTGGGCTTTAAAAAGTTTACTTGGTTTTGTCAGTGATGACACTGGCATTTTATTTCTAGGTTTTCAAGTTCTTTTCATATCACTTCATTCTACATAATTTAGCTATTTTCATATGCCTTCTCAGAACATAGTCAAATGCCTAATAAATTACTTCTTTACTTGCTTACTCCTTTTGCATGAAAATACTACAGAAATCCAATAATGGCATATGAGGCTATGAGCTGAGTGCAGAAGTGATACATTAAGGAAGAGTTCTTTCCCTGAAATGCTGTGAATCCCGGAATTAGAAATATTTCTCCCTAGTCTGCTGAGAACTGGAAATAAAGAAATAAACAGCAAAAGTAAACATGGAGTGAAGAGCTGACCTTGGTGTGCCCAGCACCATAAGCCTATAGATGCCATGTAGGACAATGGGTCCCCTCGGAAGGCTGGCTGGGTTTGGAAGCACTTTGTTTATTGCCATGGAAAAAATCTGCCTATTGTGCTGCGATTGTAGACCATCTTCATAACCAGTGGCCCCAAAACTTAAAGACTGTTTGTTCAAGGGAAGGTAAACTATGGCTTTCTCAGCCTCTGGAAGAAAGAGCCCTACTTTGCAGTTCTCTCTGACAAGGACCAATTATTTCTTGTACAGATGTTGCCATTTCGGTAATGTTTGTTTTAACCAACATTGTCATGGTTTATCCTGTTTGCATGTGTTTAAACAGTTTATCACCAAACTTTCAAATTGCTTTGTTTAAGAAAAAATTCTGAAAATGGGTGAGAAATGATAGTTTTACTTTGGTGTTGCAGATCCTGTGAAGCCACCTGGCAACTCCTTACAAGCACCAGCTGATGTACCTTTAGCTATAAATACAGCGCCACCCTCCACCCAAGTAGATTCATCCTCCCCTGCTCCACCTCCTCCATATCAACTCATCAACCTCGCACCACCCCTGGAGGATCCTCAAGACTACCTTTTGCTAATCAACTGTCAAAGCAAGAAGCCTGAACCCACCAGGTAAATCACATATGCCCTTGTTTGAGAGAGAAAGAGAGTGTGTGTGTGTGTGTTTACACTTAGGAATCTCACCTTTAAAATTACTTAGGCCTGATTTGAAGGCTTAAAAGAAACCGTCTGTACAGGCTTGTATTTTAGGCTTTGTTTTGGGTTAAGATTCCTCCACTAATGACTTCTGATATTCAGGAGCTTTTATTGAAGAAACATATTCTCTGCCGTCTTTGGCAAAGAACACCTGTACCTGCAAGGCTCTTCTGGGAATCTGTCTCCTGTTTCATAACTTTGTTACAGACTCACACTTACTTGCTTAACAGATTGCACTGATTTATAAATGGTGATCTTGCTCCATTTCTTATGTGATTGTAAACCAGCCAAGGGTCATCTTGTGTTTCTGAAGAAGGAGAGGAATACCTACTGCTGGAAGATTTTGAAAGCAAAACGATTCCATTGCAGTGAGTGTGTTGTGATTGCTTTGGGTCCATGTGAGAAATTAATCATACAGGTAAAATCCCAATACACTGAATTCCATGGAATATGCAAACTAGGCTTTAGGATAATGTGGTGAAATCAAATACATTGCTAAAAATTGTGAAACTTTGAAATCGTCATACCTAGCAATGAAGCACAGCTTAACCCCAACCCTAGACTTTATAAATTTTGAAGAAAGAAGCATATGTGTTTAGGTCTTACCCAGAGGTATCATTAAACCTTTCTCAAACCATTGGTTTCCCCGTCATCTCCATCCCTGCTCTCACACCCCTCACTGCTTCTAAGCTATAAGATACTTTAATTCAATTATTCTTCTCATTTGATGTTGGGTAACTAGAAGGCTTAAGGTAATGGTGCAAGTCGGAGCCAGCAAATGATGATCAGGAGCCTGCAGATATATTTATTGTCTTAATTTGCAGTATAAAAATTAGGGTGAATTGCATAGTAGATATGAAAGGTATTTTTTAAAGTTATTAGATATGAAGCATTATTTTCATAACAAAAAGTTTTTATTTTTCATATAGAAAGTGACTGTTACTGGGCTAGTATCATACAAAGCACTTTTTCAAAATATTGTATATAGAATTTGGTAAGATCCACAAGTTAGTTTCTGCAAACCATTCCCTGAGATAATGGAAATAACTCACAAATGTTCCAAAGATGGGTTTCTATATATTTGTTGTAATGGGATTTTACCTGTAAGAGCAAATAAAATTTTTATATATCAGCACTAGTTAATAATACCAAATTCTAACTTGATCTTGCTTGTTTGCTGTGTGAATATTTAAAATTACACACTCACAATCTTGTTTCCCATGCTACTAAGATTTTATTTTGTGGAGATTTATAATTATTTTTCACTATCAACCTTATAAAAGCCAACAGCTAAGTAACAGTTTTTAGTACACTTTCTTTTTACATAGTGTCTTTCATCGATCTCACTAGTAACACAGTTTTCCTGTTATAGTAGAAATTATGCTCAAAATCATTGCTCAGATAGATTTTGTATCTGTATTTTGCAGAAGTGACAGTTAAATAACAAATAATGAAGTGCCCACTATTTTGCCAGGTACTGTGTGGCCCAAACAAATTACATAAGGTACAGATATAATCACCTTCAGAATTTACAAGTAAAGCTTGTGAAGGAATTAAAACATGCAAGCATTAAGTGTTCATAGATGAAGGCAAGATATGAGGATCGCCTTGCGAACTCTTGTTCATCCTGCAGAGATGCTTAGCTCAGTGCAGACACATTCTCTGCTAGGAAACCTTCCCCCAAACTCCCAGACTGGATGAAGTGCCTCTTGGGTTTTCAAAGCATTCTGGTTGTGCCTCCATATCTGTGTTTTATCACAGAATTGGAAATAGCTTGATATTTTTACTTATTCTCCACTAAACTGTAAGCTAGTCAAGTGCAGGGAATTTACCACTCATTGTACCTCTAGCTTTTCTTAACTCACATGTTTAAGTTAAATGAAGTGCCCATTTTAGAGTATGAGTTGGTGCAATTGAAATTTCTGGAAGGCACAGTGCAAGTGCTTTTAAGATGGAGGGTGAAAAGCTTCATAGGAGAAGTAGGATTTGAACTACACCTGGTTGATAAGAGAAGAGGAGACTTATTACTAACTTGAGGGAAAATAGCTTGAGGGAAAGGAGTCAGAGTGGGACTAATGGTAGAAAGGTGAGGAGGAAAGCCTGATTGGAGTAAAGGGTTCTTAGTAGGGCTAAGAGAGGACGTGTAAGTTTGGGGCCAGGTTATTAGTAGCCTCAATGCCAAGTGGCGTAGTTTGTGAGGTTTTTATAGCTCCCATAGCCTATGGAAACCTAAACAGGATTTTCTCTGAGTAGGTGAGTGGTATGAAAACCATGTTTTAAAAAATACTGATACTGTATTAGTATAGCAGTATTGTCCTAGGGATCTACTGGAAGAAGGAGAACATAGAGGAAAGCAATCCACTTAGGAAGGTGCAGTGGAGATCTCAGCAGAGACTCAGACCTGAACCTAGGGGTAGTGACAGTTGAGGAGGTACTTGGCTAGGGAAGAGGACTTTGTGCCTGAATGATGGTGGAGAGCAAAGAGAAGGGATCAGTGCTGACTGGGTTTTGAATCTGGAGACCCTGGATAAAGACATCTCTTTTAATGGCAAGTCAGAAAGGGCAATTAATTGGAGAAGTAAGTTAAGTTCGGTTTGGTACACATGGGCATGTTAATACTGGAATAGCCACGTAGAAGCATATATGAACAGTTGAACAAGATGGGACTCAGAGTTTGGTGAGAGAGATGAGAGTTGTTAGCATTCAGTGGAAGATGAAGTTACAAAAAAGTAGAAGGGTAGTCAGTGAGAGAAGGAAAATCAAGGTAGTATAATATGGGTTCTCTGATACTTGAGGGGGAGTGTTTCAATGAATAAATGCAAGACACAGTGTCAGGTGTTACCATGAAACCAGAGAAGATAAGCACTTAAAAAGTACCAAAAGTTATTTTTTAAAATACCAAGTGTAAGTTCCTACAGGACTTTGGACAGCAGACATAGGGAGTTAAGGCATCTTGTTTAGCCTTAAGGAAATGTGAGTGTGCTGGTATTGTTAGCTTCATTCTGGCTTATGACCAAACTTTGTGTTGCAGAGACTTAAAATGTACCCAAAGCATAAACTACACTCTGATGAAATTTCTCAAGCTTAGTTATTGTTTGGAGTTGGCTAACTGTGGTTTATGTTTGGATCCTCTTTCTAGTAGTGGCTAAATGTTAAAGAAAATTAGTAGAAAGGAAGATACACGAAACCTATCAAGTTACCACCTTGATAATTCAAGTAGAACAGTTTGAATTTATGCAATACCAGGTAATGGTTAGATTTTGAGTCTTAACAGGATAACAAATTTGCCACAGGAAGACTAAAGAGCAATGGATCGACTGATGAACTATGTTGGCACAAGGTTTTGCATGCTCTTCAGAGGATATGCTTTTCCTTTGGTCTATTCCTTAATGATTAATCTTCCCTAGAGTTTTGTACTTTTCTAATTCCAGTTCTTCAGGAATTGTGGTTTTGTGTGTGGGTTGATGAGTGGGGGTGTGGGCAGGTGTCGGACAGGAATTAGGGGGAATGCTCTTGGTGGTTTGTGATGGTGAACATTTGTGCTTTAAATCTTACAGATCATACAAAAAAGGTTGAATGAAAAGCGCTATGTATTTTGATTGCTAAGCTATAAATACACTTACTAAATGTACTTTCATGTCTTCACCAAGCTTTGTTTTCTGTCTTTTAACAATTTTTGTTTAGAACACATGCGGATTCTGCAAAATCCCTTTCTTCTGAAACAGACTGCAATGATAACGTCCCTTCTCATAAAAATCCTGCTTCCTCCCAGAGCAAACATGGAATGAATGGCTTTTTTCAACAGCAAATGATGTACGACTCTCCACCATCTCGTGCTGCATCTGCTTCAGGAGACTCCAACCTTTATAACTTGCCCAGAAGTTATTCCCACGACGTTTTACCAAAGGTGTCTCCATTAAGTACTGAAGCAGACGGAGAACTCTATGTTTTTAATACCCCATCTGGGACGAGTATAGAGACTCACATGAGGCATGTGTCTATTAGTTATGACATTCCTCCAACACCTGGTAGTACTTACCAGAGTCCGCGAACGCTTCCAGAAGGAACCTTGGGGCAGACGTCAAAGCTAGACACGATTCCAGATATTCCTCCGCCTCGGCCACCGAAACCACATCCGGCTCATGACCGATCTCCTGGGGAAACGTGCAGCCTCACACGCACGGCCTCAGACATGGACAGTAGCTACTGCATCCCCGTGGCAGGGGTGCCACCGTCGCGCAGTAACACCATTTCCACGGTGGATCTGAACAAATTACGAAAAGGTCAGCTCTGATTGGCTTCTGTTGTGTTAGAGGTGAATGATAGAAATTGTTTTTCTGAATATTGACTCTTTTAAGCATTGAATGATATAAATGATAGTCCTTTTTTCCTTCAGCTCTGCAGTTACCCACTCATGTAGTGAAGATGTCAGAGTCTCAGTAGATCCTTGGAGGGCATGCATGAAACGTATGCCTGTGTGCGTGTTCTGCTGGAAGGGAGAGAGAGTTGGAGTTTTTCATCCCTGAAGAAGTATGGCCTTAGTAATGCCTTCTACTTTAGGAAGTGTGCACCCCTCTCTCCCTCTTTCTATATATCCTGGGTGGGTAGACCTCTGATAGGGCAGGGGCACAGGAAACAGGCCAGCCACAAAGTGTCCCCGAGTCAGCCTTTCCTGTATTTGTGCGACCTTATGGCTGCATCTGTGTCACATCTGTTGTGCTCCATTTCCTTCCTTCCCAGATAAGCAATTTTTACGTTGTGTCAAGCAGGTGATAGTTCCAATTGAGCTATTCTGCTTTTTGTTTGTTTGGTTTTATTTATTTTTAAAGCTCTGGATCTTCTCTCCCGTTTTTCCCTAGCCACTTCACTTAGTCCTGTACCATTTCCTAGAGCCTTCCAAAAGTTACAGACCTTGAGAGGAGAAAAATTGAGCCTGCGTGGCACTCTGAGAGTCTTAAAATCCTAAGAATAGAAAGCCAAAGTTAAAGATTCAGATACCCTAAAAACTATGTGCTGATGTTTCTGTACCTTGTAGTAGAGTTATCCAACTGTCTTAAAGAAGATAAAGAGTTAATACATCAATACTTATTTAGCCATTTAATACCAATTTCTAACTCCCTCCCTGAAGTGGCTCCATAATCTGGTTAGTGAGTTATAAGTTAGACCCAAGGTGATGTAAAAGATGAGAAAAATGGAAATACTTCTTTTCTCCATCTTGAGATAACCATCTCATCCCAGGCTTAGACCTTCACTCATTGTTACAGTCAAATACTGGTATTGGTTAGCATATCAGTGAGTGACTGCATTTTCTAGTAGTTGAATGTGCCAATTCAAGATACTATTTTGTGAGCATCCTTTTTAAAATCTGTGTGTTCGGGCACACTTGTGTGCATGTGTGTAAAGAGAGAGTAGGTCATTCCTGATTACCCTGAGAACTGGCAAAGATGGGAAGAAATGTTGATAGTTTGTTCTCTTTATTTTAGATGCTAGTTCTCAAGACTGCTATGATATTCCACGAACATTTCCAAGTGATAGATCTAGTTCACTTGAAGGCTTCCATAACCACTTTGTAAGTATAACTGACCTTGGCATCATCAAGTGTATTTCATTATCTAAATCTTTGCACTTAGTGCCTTGAGACTAAATGAGATCATGAAATGAAAGTTCCTGCAGATTCATATGGATAGGTGTGACTTACAGTTGTGTTCCTGTTTGACAGTAGTTTTTGTTTATTAAAAAGAAATATATGTGTGTTTTAGAAAATCAAAAATGTATTGACAGTGGCAAGTGTCTCAAGTGAAGAACTGGATGAAAATTATGTCCCAATGAATCCCAACTCACCACCGCGACAACATTCCAGCAGTTTTACGGAACCAATACAGGAAGCAAATTATGTGCCAATGACTCCAGGGACATTTGATTTTTCTTCATTTGGAATGCAAGTTCCTCCTCCTGCTCATATGGGCTTCAGATCCAGCCCAAAGACCCCTCCCAGAAGGCCAGTTCCTGTTGCAGACTGTGAACCACCCCCAGTGGACAGAAACCTCAAGCCAGACAGAAAAGGTGAGAATGTGGCATAGTAAAAGGGTGCAGAGGCTTCCTGGTTATTAGATCTGCATTTAACTGTCATTAAGTCCAAAACAGAATTGGGACTAGAAATTTTAAAGTATTTCATATTACCTCTGTTATCAACTTGTTTTAAGTGAAACAGTATTGCTATTTATAGATTAATAATTAAGATAAGTTGATACCCAGGTGAGATTTTTTTTAAGTCACCTACGTCTAGAGCAGAGGTTACGAACTAAAATACTCACAAGGATTGGCAGACAGCATGAGGGAATTACAATAAACTGAAATGCCCTTGCCCCATCTCAGTGGAGAACCTAACTGCTCCTTGACTACAATCCTTTGTTGACTTGTGAAAATAACATTACAGGCAAATCTGATGTATCAGGAGAAGCCAGAAATTGTGGATTTTATGTGTCTTTTAATTTTTGAACCTCTGTCAGCTAATTTTTTTTTTTTTAAAGAACATTGCCCACCAAACCAAACACAACCTAGATGTGGTCTTTGACTACTATTTTGTAACCTCTTCTCCAGATTTTGTAACTAAATCAGACTTGAGATTATTAATGCACTTAATAAAGAATTCTTTAAGAACTGTGAGGTTGCTTGTATGATCTTTCCATTCTGTCCATATAAGAACTTATTAAAGAGTAGTCTGCCTTTGCTGAGATACAAATAAATGCTTCTAGTCTGTTCTTTCATACTGGCCTTCATAAGTAACATTAAATTCTAAAAATAGCATGATTTATTAAGAACTCAGTGTAAAAGAAATTTTCAGCCAAATTGGTAAAACATAATCAAGTTTTTTTAAATTTGAGTTTGAGTGGTTAAAATACAGACAACTCTCTGTGTTGCAGCATGCTGTTAGTATGATTTTTCTTAACATCCAAGTTAGTAAGTATAGTGCCTGTGTGATGAGTGGCACAATTTCTGAGAAATTCAGCACATTTGAGAAGTCTCTGCATATAGCTTTCTTAGGAGCATGTAATGTTTATGTAAATTTCTCACTAAACCAGGTTTAGATCATAATATAATTCTAATTAAGTTCCAATTGTGGGGAGCAGAGACTGAGACTCAGAGTTCTTGAAGAAAATGAGTTTTGTTTCTTTCTGCTGTCAAGTCAGTAAAGATTCCAAGAGATGAAATGAGAAAGTCAGTGGAAACCGAAGCATTCCGAGGGAAATGTCATTTTGCTCTGCTTTCTGCATTCCTGTCTTGTGTGAACCTTCGTATCCACTTGGTTTTCTCTCACATTCTGGTCTTTATTTTGCGTCCCCTCCTTTTCGCGTGCTCCACCTGGTTCCCGATCTGCGAGTGCCTCGCCCTGAAGCATGTCCCGCTCAGCGCGCCCCAGCCGCCACTGCAATTGCTCACAGAGAATTTGATAGGTCTTGCGTCTTTTTATGCGAGGCCTCCTGATAGATTGTAGGCCGGCCAACAAATGTGCTGCTGTTGAGCCAGCTGCTCACCTCTCATCCAACAGCTGGAAAGGCAGTCCCACCCGGACAGCCCTGGCAGCAGGGCCAGAGTCAGGAATGGTTGTCCTAGAAAGGGTGTGAGCATTGAAGGCTTTGTATTTGATAACTTTTCCTGTTGTTTCTCATTGTCCTCATTTGGCTTTGTGTCTATTTAGACATTAGTGGCTATTTCCTTCTTTGCATACAGTATGCGAAAGCATGTTTCCACATATGTAGATTAATAATTGGGGTTCACACTGCTGAGGGATTAAGGTACAAGTGTCATGAGCTCTTTGAAATATTGGAATATTCATTTTAATGCTAAACTGCTTCTTAACTTTATGCAATTAGTGCATGTTAGCAGCAGATCTCTAATTTATTATTATTTTTATTAAGGTATCATTGATAAACAGTCACATGAGCAACATTGTGGTTACTTGATTCCCTCCAATATCAAGTCCCCACCACATACCCCATTACAGTCACTGTCGATCAGTGTAGTAAGATGCTATAAAGTCACTACTTATCTTCTCTGTGCTATGTGTTTCCTTCCCCGTGCTCCCCTTACATCATGTGTGCTGATCATAATGCCCATTAATCCCTTTCTCCCTCCCTTCCCACCCACCCTCCCCAGTCCCTTTCCCTTTGGTAACTGTTAGTTCATTCTTGGGTTCTGTGAATCTGCTGCTGTTTTGTTTCTTCAGTTTTTTGCTTTGTTGTTACACTCTACAAATGAGGGAATCATTTGGTACTTGTCTTTCTCTCCCTGGCTTATTTCACTGAGTATAATACCCTCTATTCCCAGCCGTGTTGTTGCAAATGATAGAATTTGTTTTCTACTTGTGGCTGAATAATACTCCATTGTGTTTATGTACCACATCTTTATCCATTCATCTACAGATGGACACTTAGGTTGCTTCCATTTCTTGGCTATTATAAACAGTGCTGCAGTAAACATCAGGGTGCATCTGTCTTTATCAAACTGGGCTGCTGTATTCTTAGGGTAAATTCTTAGAAGTTAAATTCCTGGGTCAAATGGTATTTCTATTTTAAGTTTTTTGAGGAACCTCTATATTGCTTTCCACAATGGTTGAACTAGTTTACATTCCCACCAGCAGTTACAGGAGGGTTCCCCTGTCTCCGCATCCTCGCCAACATTTCTCGTTCCTAGTCTTTTCTGTGTTGGCCATCCTTACTGGTGTGAAGTGATATCTCATTGTGGTTTTAATTTGCATTTCTCTGATGATTAGCGATGTGGAGCATCTTTCCATGTGCCTGTTGGCCATCTGAATTTCTTTGGAGAAGTGTCTGTTCAGATCCTCTGCCTATTTTTTTAATCTGGTTATTCAGATCTCTAATTTTTAACTGCAAATGTAAGTTTCATATCTTGAGGCCCTACATACATGTGGAAGTGGTTTAGTTTGGGTAAAGGTCCTACCTGTTTGCCCCCCTCCTACTTCTTCCTAACCCCTCAGGCTCTACAGAATACAGTCTGAAAATCGCTGATGTATTTCACAGTTAATGATTCCATGTGGTAAGCATAATACAGAATCAGAAAAGACCCCTATTTATATATTAGAAAAGTTTTAATATCATCATAACATGTGTTTAGTGTCTGTTTGACAGAGCTCATGTACTCCATATTATATGTATTATTTTATATATATCATAATATGGTATGTATGCTATATATCTTATATATTACATCTATGTATAATTATACCTCCTTATGTATATGGTAAACATACTGTGTATTCTGGTTACGGGAGGGATTAATTGTCCTAGTCTTCTAAACCAGCCAGCAGTGACCTTAGAGTAGAGCTGAACAAAGTAGGTTCTTGGTTACTTCTGGAGATTATATTCATTCTGTCTTTTAAAAATTAACTGAACTGTTGAGACACAATACTGAGCTCAGTGGCCAAATTATTTATTTGGTATCTTTACTTAGATATAAAATGAACTGGAGAAAGCACCCCGAATAAAATACCCACATCGTTTTGGCAAAATAAAGAATAGGTTTAGCAAGACAGTAAAGAGGTTACTAAAATCATAGTAATAAAAAGTTTTTTTCTTTTCTCTAGTATTATTTTTTTTAATAAATACAATGAAAGAGAGGAGTCATGAGGAAGTATTTAATATTGCAGGCAAACTTTGTCAACTCACTTTAGAAAGTTATAAATATTCAAGAAAAACACATTTTAACCCAAATTCAGATCTTGGAGCAAAGTTTATCCTAAAAATCTTAAACTATAAAACAGTCTTATTTGGTCATAAAATTCTCATTATGCATACCATCAGTTGAGTCTGTTTAGGTTATGTGGCATCAGATACATGCCTCTTAACTATTATTCTAGTGTCTCTTATTGACTGAGCCTTATAATAAGCAGACAAATTTTATCAAGTATGGCTTGATTAGTTCAAAGCCCAGTACAACTAATTTAACACCCAATATAACCAGGTTCTGTGACTGCCTTCTTTGAAAGGGTCTATAATAAATAAGTGACATTCTAGTCTTGTTTATACCCCCCATTACAGATGTCAGCTGCTGTAGTTAGTAGTACAGATGAGTTTTTCGAATACTTCTGAGTAACTGGAGCTGCAGAAATACATAGATGTTCTATAAATACTTATATTTAATATATTTTCATGGACCCTTCACCCATCACCCAGTTGGTGGTAGCTATATTTTCACCCATGCTATTTCTGTCATGATAGTATTTGTTTTGAACCAAATTTTGTGTGTAATAGTACAGGAGAAAAACATATTTACATGTATTACATTAAATGTTAGTAACACAGATGAGTCATTGGAAATGCACATTCATTGGATTGCTTCAATTGAAACTTCATTTTTTAATGGAAAAGCAATTCTGTAAAGTTGGGAAATTTTTGTAACATATCTACTATGGCTTTTCTGAAAGTAGTCATTACATAGCTGTACCATATTGGATGATTGTACTTATCTAGGCCCTCTACCGCTCCCTATGCAATCTCCTCCTAACAGGAGATGGCAACTGCCTGAGCATCAAATGCTGTCTTCTTACTTTGTTTTGTTTGACTCTTGTCCATTCATGGCTTTGTACAATAGTTCTGACCATTCGTCATCATTGTGATTTGTACAAGGTTACTTCTGGTGTGTCTGTACATCAGTTTGGTTAAAGGATCTTCAGGCCTAGGTCTTCACTTTGGTGTACGAAGCACCCAGAAGACCGGTTGTGAGGAACTTTGCTAGGTGGGTCTTTTTGGCACAGTAACATATTTGCTCTAAACATTCTTTCAAGAGCTCTTCCAAAGAAGTTTCTGAATGTGATTAAAAATTAACATGCTTCTTACAAACTACCTTCATACTGTGATAATGTTCAGAAGATGGATGAATGATACCACTAAATATAACTAGATTTTAATAAACAAGTATTAAGTTTGAATCTCCAGTCAGAGTTTTAGTTTGCTGGTCTAGTTTAAAGGAAATGAATAAGGAGTGTATTTTTACAACACAGTCTTTATATGTGGGGCATTTTTTTCCCCTAAATATTCTTGACC